CGATTGAAAGCTCGAGGATGCCTCGATTGGTCTCTCTCGCTTGACGAAGAAAAGGAGCAAGCTCGGTGATAGCTAGGGGACCCTCGAGTAAGCTCGGACGCAAAAAAAACGGAAGTTGGCAATGAGCGCCGCTGCTGCCGCAATACGCGACCCGCACCATATCAGGATTAGATGGGGAGAGACCGTGCTTCAGAGTGTAGGCCACTGTCGCTATATGCGCTGCTGGTCGCGGGCGAAAGTGCCGTCACTCTCACTCTCTCTCTCGCCCACCGTGGTCGATACCTTCGTGTTGGGACCGTGACTACTGACGCCTGTCCCTCCGTCATTCAGCCAGCCAGCCCTCACGGCATATTGAAATAACGAATTCATCACCAGAAGGGGCAGGTCTCATTATCGTATTTTTTTTTCCCTCCAGCCCGCCGGTCGTCACGATACATACCATGAGAGGAGTTAATTAATTACCAGGATTATATGACTCTTCTTTCTCTCTCTCTCTCTTCCTCCCTCCCTCTCTCTCTCTCCCTCTTCCTCCCTCTCCCTCTCTCCTCTCCCTGTCTCTCTCCCTCTTCCTTCTTCCCTCCCCCCTCTCTCTCTCTTCCCTCCTTCCTCCCTCTCTCTCTCTCTTCCTCCTCTCTCATCTCCTCTTCCTCCTCCCTCTTTCTCCCTCTCCCTCTCCCCCTCTCCCTTTTTTTCCTTCCATCCTCCCTCATCTCCCTCTCTCTTTTTCCCCTGATCTACGAACCTCTCAAAAGATAATTCCAAGAACGACGAATCTCCGGCCCGTCCTGACCTCTCCCTCTGTTTGTGGGCGTGAATCCTCTCCCTCGGCCAGCGCAGGTCTCGGTTGGTCTCGCGTGTTGGGGAAGCCTGGTGGCGTGTGGAGTGGGATGGGGGGAGGGGGATAGGGGAGGAAGAGGGGCATGGGGAATGGGGAAGGGAAATCGGTCAAGGGAAAGAAAATTGGTCGTGTTTGGAAATGATTTATGAGAGGGAGAGAGAAAGGAAAGGAAAGGAAAAGAAGAAAAGAGAAGAGAGTAGCCGTGCACGTAAGTACATGCACTTAAAGCAAACCGCGTAAGGACTGAAATCCCCTTTCCTCCTGAACCAACGCGTCTCTTCCTCCTCCGAACCAAACGCATAAAAAAGTAACCTTTCTATTTTTTTCGCTTTTCTACCCAGATCGCCAGACTTGTCATGCAACCACAAAAGTAGAGGTTCATGCGGCAGATAAGACCCCTGCGTGCGCCAAGGTCTGTTGTGTGAGAACGTCCGTCATGCGAGAAAGTGTCATGCAGTGCGGGTGTAAAGGCATGACGTGTAAATCTCGTAGTTATGAGTGTATTACGTACGAGGATATTGTTGTATTATTCTGAGTGCGTGGTCGCGTGAGTGCGTGCTTGTTTATATAGATATGTAAACACACGTATACGCACACGCACGCGCGCACATTGGCACGCATAGATATATGTTTACATTTAGGCAAATACATGCATGACCTTTAAACGTATATAAAAAATCGGAGTAGAATATTTCTAGACCCGCTAACAATTTCGATACATACTCGTGTTCCCCTCGCGTGCACTTGAATTCTAAATGGCATCATAAAACGCCTCCACCTTCTCATTCTCCTCTTCCTCCTCCTCCTCCTCCTCCTGTTTCTTCTTCTACTTCGACTTCTTCCACTTCTCCTATTTTTTCTTCTACTTCTACTTCACCAATTTCTCCTCTTACTTTATTATTATTCTACAATTTATACTTCAACTTTACACTTCTATTCCTCCTCCTCCTCTTCCTCTTCCCCTCATCCTCAACCTATTTTTTCTTTTCCTCCCCCTTTTTTCATCTTCAGTTTATTCTTCAAATTTACTCTTCTTCTCCTCTTCCTCCTCCTCTTCTCCCCTCCCCCCCTTCCCCCTACTTCTTCGACCGGTGCGAATTCCAGAGCCATTGGAAACCCGCGGGCCGGGCGCGTGTGTCTCGGCCGCCGGTGCTCCAGAGAACGTGGCCCTTTCAACATTCCCAATAACCATTACGGAGTCAGGAGTGAGGTGGGGGTGGAAGTGGGAGAGGGGATGGAGGAGAAAGGGTGGAGAGGGAGGGGGGGTGGAGTGGAAGGGAAAGGGGAATGGAGGAGGAGGGAGAGTGGAAGGGAAGGGGGAGTGGAGAAGGAGGGCATAAGTAGGAAGTGGAAGGGGAGTAGGAGAAACAGACAGACAGACAGAAAAAAGACAAGAAGAGAAAGTGGGGGGGTAGATTAGAAATACACAAACGCTGATTCCTTTTGATAATTCTTACATATCACGAACTCCTAAGAGGCAACAATACCTAACCTCCCTATTTATATAAAAATAAATGAATAAAAAACAAGAGATGGAGGACTCTATTTATATTAACAAATAAATAGAAGAAATAAATAAATAAACAAACATGAAATATATATTTAAAAATAAAATGAACAGGTAAAAAGCAAGAAAAATGGGTGAAACATTGATGTGAAAAAATGTCATTACCATTGCATTAGACCAGAAGACCCCCGGAGGCTTACCGGAAACACCGAGAGAGGGGGATTAAAAGAGTGAGAGTGGATGAGGGGGGAGGGGGTGGCCCTGGAATTCTTTTTTCTATCTTTGTTTCTTCTCTGCTCCCTCTCTCCCTCTTGCCAGTTTCAATCGCAAGCTTATCAGTCATTATGCGCGCGGCACACGTACTCACATTCTCGTCTCTCTCTCGTCTCTCTGTTCTCTCCTCTCTCTGCTCTCTCTCTCTCTTCTCTTCTCTCTCTCTCTCCTCCTCCCTCCATCACACGCTCGCGCAACAGACGCGCGGTGCGCGTCGCATAATCAAAGCCATTTTTCAAGCCGCAAAAATGCCACCGATATTTTCCGCCCGATGGCCGCCGAGCCTTTCCGAAACCCGCGCGGCGTCCAGACAGGAAGGAGGTTCCTGCGCGGGCAGAGAGAAACGGCGAAGCCCCGCAAGGCTTCCCGAAACCAGTGCCACAGCCTCTCTCGCCATCGGGTCGGCTGATAAGGGGCGTCGTGCCACTAACTGGCTCGTGCTTTTTATTTTTTTATGTTCGAGTCCAATGTGAAGGTAAAAGTGATGACTGCGCTGATAACGGTTATGCAAGCAGATAAGCAGGTGCGCGGGTGCCTTGTGTGCCTTCGCGTCGCTGTTGTTGTTCTGGGGGCCCTTTTGTTGTTGGTGTTCGGTTGTTTGTTTTGATGTTTGTGTTTGTGTTAGTAGGGTTTCTGGCCTTGCTTTTGTCACGGGTGTTTGCCTCTGGGTCTGTTTTGCGTCCGGAACAAAAATAAGTCCATAGATCCTCGACGTTTAGATTCCGGAAGCCTGAGAAGAGGAGCGGCGAAAGTGAGCGCCGAAGCCCCGCTCATTCTCCTTCAAAAGTGCCCCTCTACTCTTACGCGCATTAGGGTCTCATCTCTCTCTCTCTCTCTCTCTCTCTCTCTCACTCGCTCTCTCATCTCTCTCTCTCTCCCTCTCTCGTCTCTCTCCTCGTCCTCTCTCTCTCTCTCTCATCTCTCTCATCGCCATTTTTAGCGGTGAAGCCTTACCTAGTCACCTGTTGGGTTTTCGTTTGTGTTTTGCCCTTTTTTGCGTAAGACTCGCTGCACGTTTTCCCTCACGCTCGACGGACGTAATTCTGGAGTATAAATGAAGAAGAAAGGGGGGAGAATGAGGAAAAGAAGAGTAAATTTGAAGAATAAACTGAAGAAGAAAAGGGGGGGAGAACAAGAAAAAATAGGTTGAGGCTGAGGGGGTGAGCCTGGACTGGGGCGGACGGAGGAGCGACGCCAAATAGGGTGCCATGTTGGAATGTTTTTGGTTTGAGTTTACGCGGCTTGGATTTCCTTTTCTTCAAGATTCTGTTGTGTCTTGACGGAACACTAATGCGAAGAGAATATAAACAGATTGAAGGGATAATAGATAGACGAAAGATAAAACAGGGGAGGTTATATGTGTAATGTACATAGCATAGTTTTACGTACGGACATATACCCATACATTTGCGACATTACCCGCGCATACAACACAAAAGAGGAGAGGAGGGAGAATGAAGAAAGAGGAAATGGGTTTAACAGAAAAGAGAAAGAAANGACGACCCACACGCACACATGTAAAAGCACGCACATGCACGTGCACACGCTCGCGTGCATGCACCTATATCAGTACTATTTGTCCTGGATTCTTCTTTGGCCATATAACACATCCTACTACTCCTTTCCCTTCTGTTATAGAAAGCACATTTCTAACTTCTGCCAAATATTAGCACAGACTTTATCACTCTTCACTGAAAATCCTATGGGCATGCACCCAAGCTCCATTTGTATTTCTTGCATATTTTCATCTTTATAATATTAATTACCTATTATTACTACTTTTTGGCCGCTTCGGGGATAGTAGCAACTCGCTCCCTCAAGACTGAAAGACTGCAATCAAGGTTTTTCCCTCTAGGACAAAAAAAGAATCTGTTTAAAAGATTTGTGGGTGGAGGGGATTGTGGGTCCATGTATGTGTGTGTGTGTGTATAGCTGCCTTAAAGGTGTAGGTGTGGGGTAGGGTGTGTATGGTGTGCATGCTATGCACGAAGTGAAAAAACAAAAAGGGAGAAAGAGTGAAAAATAGATTTTAAAAATAATTAAAAAGTAAAATATAAATAAACAATAATTCTAAGTACATCTATTAGTGTCAATTAGATGTTATTGTCAGGGGACAAAAGGGTTTAAACATCCAGGCACAAGTTAGTATACCACATAATGCATAGGCTCAAACTGGTCAAAGGTGAGTAGATTCGCCTTCATGTTTGTAACTGAATAATGAGACTTATCATTGACCCTCTACCAATATTTTCACACTAATTATATAAAACTTTTAATTATCATTTGGGCAATTCTCCAGGAATTACTCATATCTAAGTACTTTTGAGTAGTTCTTTAAAAACTGGATGACTTAAATAGGCAAAGCAGAATAATAACATTATATAAAACATGTCTTAAATACTTTAATGTTACATCTGGTATACATCTCAGTAAAAATCACTCTAACTCCATCATCTTTCCTATATGTCAGAAAGTTATCATCTATCACCACAGCAGATCATTATGTATACATGGGAAGGGGATTGGAGGGAGAAGAGGATGAGGGAAGACTAAAAAATAAATAAAACATGTAAAGATCATATAAAAAGATGAAAATACACATTCAGACCATGGGGAGTGCTTGGGGATCGATGGTTGAGGGTTGAGGGTCATATTTGCTGCTACAATAATTGAAGGTTTGTACAAAAGATTTCCTCAAAGGGACCTCTAAGATGTTTTCACATACCCTGTGCCCTTACAAGTTAAATGGAAACTGAAAAGTTAAAGGAAAGAAAAAAAAAAAAAAAAAAAAAAATCAAGATCAAGTCTCAGAGCAACTTACAAGCTACAGATTATTTTTTTTTTTTTTTACCTTTTCTTCAACATGATTCCTATAGTAATGACTTCCAAATTACATAATATAATACATGGATATGTATAAAAATACCAAATTACCTTACAGTATGTGACTGGACACCACACTTGGAAACGTGGATGATGCATTGCAAATGAGATGGGGGAAAACCATTAATTCTTGTAAAAACAAATAAAAACTCAAATATTTAGAAAAAGAAAGACAATGAACTGATAAAAGCAAAACCTGAGAATCAACTTATTATGCAATGTCAAAAAAATATATATATAGGGTGAGAAACAATAATAAAAAGAAATTAAATATATAATCTAATTTCTCTCTCTCTCTATATATATATATTTATATATATTCAATATCCAAAATACTGCAGAATGTCAAAGACAAAAATACAAACAGAAAAAGAAAGTTGATTATGGGAAATCATTAACATAAACACATAAATATATAATACATATAATTTAATTACAATGAAAAATCAAAATCAATGAACACATTGTTTTCACAAAATATTTTGTAGAATGTCAACAAAATTTCAAATAATAATAAAAAACTGTATACAGGATATAAGCACATGGAAGAAAGATATTCAAAGTCAAGTCACCTTAATGACACTTCGAATAAATAACCACACACTATAACTGATAGGGCCAAAGGTCAAAGGTCATCAGGGGTTCTCTACCCCCAAGCACTGCCTTTTGTGTGGGCTGAGGGAGTCGCTACCCAGCTTGCGCTTCTCACTTAGGCCGTAGGGAGGAGCATTGGAAGTAGTGGCGGACAAGGGATCAGTAAGGGGTTCTGTGGGGAGCAGTTCTTCCGCACTCATCCCTGTACCCCCAAGCTCATCGCTATCATCATCCAGACAGATGATCTCCTCATTCTTATAGTCATCCTCTGCTATGTCCTTGTAGACAGCTTCTTCACTGTCCATGATTGGCACATCTACATCCACAACAGAAGGTTGAGTGTCAGTGTTGATTGATTGGATTGAATTCTCTTTTATTTCAAGAGGCAATTTAATAATTAAAGTAAAAAAGTAGAATTGTTTGATTACTCTGCAGTTAACTTAATACTACCATAAGGGCACATCCATACATGTCCAGTCCACTGTGATTTTAGTTTGTTATCTTTTGACACAAAGATGTGTCCAGAACTGGTTACCAAGAAATCAATTGCTATGCCTACATGTTTCTTCTTTTTCTTGATTTTCTCTTTTATCTTGCTTTTTTCCTCTTTCCTTTTCTTTTTCTTTTCTAACAATAGCATTGTCAATGATAATGTAGCAACCATATTATCATTAATAATAATAATAATAATAATTATAATATCAGCATCAGTAGTAATAGTTTTAACCCACTAACGACGGTTTTTAAAAAAAGGAAAAAAAAAAAAAAAATAAAAATTATCTAATAAATTCAAAATATGGAAAAGACAGGTAAGCATATCAATTAATTCTTTGGTGACTAATTACTTGTGGAACCACCTGTGTTTAGATATTAACTATAGAAAACTATATGTACTGAGCCTCAATTGATTAACCATTTACTTTATTGATAATTTTTCTCGCAAGGCAAATGTTACTACATTAAAAGTAAAACAATACTATAAAACATAAAAATACTATTTACACAATGATAACAATATATCTGAAAATTTAAGAAAAATTAAGACATCTAAGTATCCATAACTACTACAGAACAATGTAATCAACACCATCACTGCCATCAACATGATAATAATGATAAAAAAATTAACCTCTTTCACACATCAGCTCCAAAGACATACCTTCTTCTGAGTCCTCAATCTCTTCCTCCATGCACGCACTTGCCAAGACATCGTTCAAATCATCATCCGTTACATCTCCATCGTCCTCAAAGTCTTGTATGCAGTTCTCTCTCGTCATCTGCTCCTCCACCTCTTCCTCCTCTTCATCATCTTCTCCATCTTCCTCACCTTCTTCTTCTTCCTCGTCTTCCTCCTCCTCTCCATCTTCCTCCTCCTCTTCTTCCTTTTCTTCCAAGTCATTTTCTTGTTTCACCTCTGCTTGCTTCCCTTTGTCCACTTCTTCTGCTTTGGACACTTCTGTTCCTTCCACTGCCTTTGCACTATTCATATCTACACTCCCTTCTTTCTCTTCCTTCACTTCTGTTTTCACTCTTACAGCACTCTTGTCAGCATTCTCTCTCGCACATGCTTCTTTGTCCACATAGTCTTGGAAAATCTGAAAAATGGAAAGTTCTCTATTCCTCATTTTGAATGCATATTTATCAAACAATACAAGACACTGTAATATGCTGCCATCATTACCACTGGATAGAGACATCATTAAGCTCACCTGCCAAGGTATTAAGCACAAAGCTTTATAATGGGATGAGGTCTAAAGTAAATTATACACAACAAAGAATATCTTATTTCTTACCATAATCACAGGTCCATCCAAGAACATCACATACAATATTATAATCATATTTCCTTTCCTTGCTGAAGTGAACTTATTTTACAGCTTCATATACTTCCACAATAGCAAGTGTGAAGAGTGAAAATGGAAATTGTTGATTCTTTATATGTTCTCATAGAGAGAGAAAATGCTACATATTCCTGCTGAATGAGCCCTATTCATGAGATCTAAGTGAAATAGAAATAATAATTTTTCCTTTGATATTTTGGATGTATAATTGTAGTGAGTCAAATATGCCATGGATTTCACCCACCAGAAAAATGCAAGTGTCTCCTTTATGGTGTCCATAAGCAGAAATACTCTGGGAGAAGAAACTTTCCACACTAGCCAGATTCCTATTTATTTTTGCCATCCGTTGGAGGAAAAAGGCACATATATCTCATTGAGGGCTGGCAAAGAGAGCCCATGGCTCAGTCCATGAGCGCAGCTCTGTCCCAGGTTGCTCACTTGCATTTTATCTTGTCATATTTCATATTATGCTTTTTATTTGTTTCTAAGGGGATCAACTGCTTCTTTTTTTTATTTTTTTATTTCCTTTACCCTTTTATTTAGACCCTAGCAAGATCTCTGAGATCAATTTTTTTTCAAATCGCCTGAACAGTTTTTTATTTCGACTTTGTTTTTTTGGGGGGGAAATATTTTACTGAGTCAACTGGCAGAAGTCCGAAAAAAATATTTTTTCATATGTGTCACTTTTACAAAAAGCACAGGAAAAAATTAATAAATCTGCTTCTTACATTCCCTTGATATTTTATCTGCAAAATGAGCCATAATATGTTTATTTTGGACTAAATTCGTGTCTGCTACAGCATTTGAAAAAAATAAGTATACTTCTAAGATAATGGTCATTGAAGTTTTTTCTCTTTTGGTATAAACAATAAAAGAAAGAAGTGTAATCTTCCTAAAACATATTTGTCTATCATGTACCTGCAGCCAGATGGGGCAGCACACATGTATTTTCGAGGTAACAGTCCCAGGTGTTGTAACTCTATAGGGTAAAACACCCAAATTTCACACCAAGACTTCCATGAAATAAAGATTTACAAGTATAAGGTAGTGTAAAAGTATGTATATAAGGTACATAAGGATATACAAATCATTTCCCTATATTCCATGACTTTAATGTTTATATATATTATTACCACTGTTTGTTTGTTTTCCATTTGCCAATTGTTTATATGTTGCATTTTGTTTATTTATGTTTGTCTGATAATTCAAAGATCTAATCATTACATCACAACTGCCAATTTTCTAAAGTAAGATGAAAAATAATAATATTTCAGTTGACATTGAAAAGGGCTGCTACCATCTAAAAAATAGCAGGTGGGCCGTGAAATTTCCAGGGAGAATCAGAGGCCCTGAAACTCCTTGAAAATGAATTTATCTCAATTTTGGCAAAATGGGCGAAAAATGCCAAAAAATGACCAGACAATCCCTTAAGGCCATCACCATTCCTTGGGTTATGTGGTGGCAGTTATATAAAATCAAGGCCAGACCCAAGAATTGTCCATTAAATAGTTCAAAAAGAGGTGTGATATTTTGTGCTATTTCTAAATTTTAATTTTGTATCAATTGGTTTTCATTTAATTTTTGCTGTTTTTTAGTAAACTTGCTAACTATAATTAATGGAGACCATAATCTAAAATGGTTAGAATAGATAATTGAACAGATGCATCAGCTTGGATGGTGTCAGCCTACACCGATGTTATACATTGCCCAAATAAATTTAAGGGGGCCATCGCACTGAATTTTCGATGACTATCTTAAAAAATACTAAAAAATCCCATGACGTAATATTTCTGCTAAATACGTAAAAGTAAAGGAGTTATGACTAAATCTCTGTCGCATCCATGCAGATGTACTTGACAATATCACTCACACACACTCTCTCTCTCTCTCTCTCTCCTCTCTCTCTCTCTCTCTCTCTCTCTCTCTCTCTCTCTCTCTCTCTCTCTCTCTCTCTCTCTCTCTCTCTCAGCTGGCAATTCTTCTTCCTGAATTAGCTGATAGTCATGACTAAGAGACTAGGCGGGCAGTCACCACGAGAGAGTCAGAGCGAGAGGTTGCTCATGCACCCTCATCTCACACTAAGGGGACACTACTAATGATAGATGTTATTCCTGTAACTAATAAACATATGATGAAAAATACATCTCAATCATAGCTGCAGCAGTTGTTTATTTGTATGAAATGTCTCATAAGGTACTGTAAAGGCACTGCCAAGCCTGTGATGACAAGCGGTATTTCTACAATCATCTGCAGTTATTGCCATTAGTACCTTGCAATAGGGGGGGACCAGGTACCAGCTACACTTCAGAATACCATGTGAATGCCATAGAATGCATCAACATTGACACAGAGATCAGATTTCTAAAACAAATAATAATAAAAAAAATGGAGGAAAAAGCATCCTCAACTTCAAAGCCCAATATCTCAAAACTACACTCTGTCAACATTCTTTTTTGTTTCTCCATAACTTCTTGGGCGGTCCTAATGGGGTTTGGATTATTTGAAAGCTGAATAAATTTGCAATTTTATAGATAAATTATGCGATTTTCATTTCAGGTGATGAAAGTCCATATAATAATTTTGTATGCATAACAATGAACGTTAAAAAAAAAAAAAAAAAATCCACTAAACTAAGAAGAAATTTTAAAATCCAAATCGTGTCATATTCAGGTATTGCTATAGAGCAGTGTTGTCCAAACGTTTGCCTATTGTACCTTTTATTGCCTTCTTGTGCTGTTACCTACCCCCACCCCCCTGTCCACCATGGCTAAACAAACTGTTCTATGCAAACAATATACTAATTATGAAAACACTGTATTGCAGGAGTGTTGGTCAATAATTTTGAATTTGATACACAAATAAAAATGATTTAATAACTTGTGATGTTTCTGTTTGTGTGCATTCCTTGTTTGTTCACACACCGTTATGATTTATGTTGCGTACCCCCATGGGTATGCGGACCCCAGTTTGGAAAACACTGCTATAGAGTATATGTGGGTTTTTTTTTAACCCACTCACGCTGGGTACATTTTGTAGCCAAAATTTAAAAAATCCGGGCGGCTACAAAATCGGCGGGCGGAGCTTCCCCGGAGTCTGTCCCGCCGCCCGGCCACATGCCGCTTCTGCCTCAGAGCGCAGCTCCGAGACAGCATCGCACTGGCGGGCAACCCGACATTGTTTATTTTTCCCTGTGTCTCATATATGTGACACCCGGGACAAATGGGTTAACAAATTCAGTCAATGGATAAGATTTTTTTTTTCTTTTCTTTAATCTTGGTTTCTTTTTAAATAACTTCATTGTTTATCATCCAAATGATATCAAATTTGGTGGTGTAATCATAGTATATATATATATATATATATATATTATATATATATATATATATATATATATATATATATATGATATATATATATATATCTATATATATATATATATATATATATATATATATATATATATATATATATATATATATATATATATATATATATATAACATAAAAAATTGCAAAAATTCAATCTTAATTAACAAACTTCATTCTCTAGTACGGCCCCTTAAAAGGTATGGATCATGGTCATGTGAAGACCTTGAACTCCTAGGATAAAGAAAAAGCAACTAAAATAGGGAAAAACTCATGACCAAATACGAAAATACTCCTTGCATGAAGCAAATTAAAACAATGTGCTTCTACAATCTTGAATTTTCCAAGAAAAAAAAAAAAAAAAAAAAATCATCACTTTTTTATTTCGAAACGAAATTGAGACATTTTCTGCTTTTACACCTATTGGTAAGACTCTTAGATCTTGGAAAGGTTAAAGTCAACTAACAATATTCTAATTTTACCATTGTTACTAATTTCAAGTCTTCAACAGTCTTAACCCATCGCCGACGGGTAAAAATTTTGGCAAGTTGACGTATGTACGGGCTTGTTGGCGCGCATCGGCAGTTTCCCCTGTTTGCGCCTGGCTCGATCGGTAGTTTGCGAGCGACATTTAGTACCTAAAAGCTTTTATTTTGCTAAAATCTATAAAAATATTAAAATTTTGAAGGTTTACCTTCACTTTAGGTGCCATTGCCTAAAATCTTTACCATATAAATGAAGCCGCTACTACCGGAGAAAAACAACCTCCGTCCAACGAGCCAGTAGCACGGGAATGGGCATGACATGATGCCCCCGGCGTTTGGTCCACAACAGCCATGGCATGTACGTACGTGCCACCCGGTGGCAATGGGTTAAAAAGTTCATCAAAATACAGCCACAGAAGAAATACTCACAAGCCAAGATAGAGGAATACTATGCTATCAATCACAATATTCAGATGTCCAAAGGACCTTTGTCTAAAATGATGGGAAAAACTGAGATCTTTGTACAAGCATAATCACCCACCTTATCTAACTTCTGCTTTGCTATGGTCTCATTCTCTTGGAGTTTACGACTAAGCTCATCATCTTCTGCCGCTGGATCTGGCATTTCTTCCTCAGCATAGCCATAAATGTTGTACAAGTCATCACTCTCTCTTCTTTCCTTCAACATTCTCCCCACATCACGGAATATTTCTTGAGCTGTGCAAGAACAAACAAAATATTTTAGAAAAATGAGGATAAAAATCTGTTCCAAGGAAAATGTACTTGATAAATGGAACACTATTCAATAAAGCAGTGTAAAAGTCTTTCTCTGTATCTTACCTTGAACTCTAACTGTTTCTGGTCTCAAAGGTAGACTACTCTGCTTGGTCACTTTCTTCACTAGATTAAGAACATCAACATAGTCTGGAAATTCTTTGTTCTTGTTCACCCACGCACTGATCCTCTTGTTAATCTCAGGATAGCGAGACCCTGAGAAAAGATGCATGAATATTAACAATCTTTCCATATTTCTTCTGCTAAAATCCTTTCAAACAAGTTGAGAAAAGAAATAGGAAGCATAAAAAAACTACATCTGGTATACCTAGTTACAATATAACAACAGGTAGCGTGAACTTATGAAACAGAATAGTGTTAACAAACTGGATATCTATCAACTCTTTTGAACATCATTGGATAAAAATAACTGCAACAAAAGCTTGAAAAGAACAATATACATGACAACAAACCAGAGCATATTTTCTGACAATTAATTTCAAAATAAATGTCATCTAAATTGTTAAAATTATATCATTACTCACATCCACATTTATACAATTACCAATCAAAAGAGGAAATACAAACATGCCTTTACCCTAATCTAATATCAATTTTGTTCCCTTTTGAGAAGGACTCTATAACATATTAAAAGCATGTTAAAAAATCGCGAAAATCCGATCATAATTAACGAACATCGTTATCGAGTACAGCCCCCTTATGGTCAGGTGAAGACCTTGAACTCCTAGGATAAAGAAAAAGCAACTAAAATAAGAAAAAAATTAGATGCTTCTTGTACAATTATACTGTAGTTCTTGTTTGCAGCACACCCAAATGTTCTGAAATTTATGTTTTTATCTTATTCCTACTTTCACATGGTAGTTTCTTATAATTTTTATTTCTCATTTGTTTCTTACATGTTTGCAAACATACATGTATGAAATTTTGGAAACCAACTATGGAAGAGTGAAGTGATTAACAATGTATTCACAAAATGTCAGTAACAAAAGTGTAAAAATGAATAATGGGAGGATGTTTATGAGGATCTCCCGTAAACCATAATTTACAGATATTATCATCATTTCATAGCCACATCTAGAAAATGAGACATGACACTTTACAAGAAAGCAAAGAGAAATTACCTTGGTATTTGAACTTCCTCTCAATAGGGCGGCCTGTGGCAGGGGAACATTGAGCAATTCTGCAGTAATAATCGTGTAGTTTACTAAACTGACGCTTTAATCTGAAAATATAATTCAGCATCAGTTGGGAATTCCTAAAAAAATATTATGAATATATTCATAAGTTCCTATACAATCAGTCTAGTTCTGAAAATTATTCATCATAGATGAATAATTCACCATCATATATGCCATTATGAAAGACAAAACCTATCATAAAAATATCTAAAACAAAAATCATGAAGTTGTAGATTCTTTATAATTTACTTTTATACACATCTAATCTATTTCATTTATAGTTACCTTTTTTTTTTTTCTTTTTTTTTTTCAAATAAGAAATCTAAAACCATTTGGTCATATAATACCTCTAAGAAATGTGTGAAGACAAATAATTTTACCTATTCTGTAACAAAATTTCTTAGGTTCTATGAATTCCATATGACTTCCATATGATATTCACAAATACATTTCCTACCTTTCCTCTACCAAATAGGCAGAGTTGTCTTCATCGTCTAAGTCTACTTCTGCTCTCTCCAGTTCTTTAATCTTATCCGATATTTCCTGGAAAATTGAGGTAGTCATTGTCAAAACCTATGATAGTAAAAACACCTATTTTTATTCAACTCCTATTCTGAAGGTTTCATACTAAACTTCTCTGTATATGAGAGTTTAAAATAATTCATTCTAACTTAATCTTATTTGACAGTTTAAAAAGCAGAAATTCTGAATAAAGGCAAAACCACATTACAGGTTAATCACATTCAAGGTACATAAAAAGTTGCAAAAGCTGAAAAAAAAAATCTCTGAATACAAGATAATTATAAGATTTATCTTTTTGAGGCAAATAAGTCCCTCATAAAAAAAAAAAAAAAAAAAAAAAAAAAAAAAAAACGATGAGATGTACAACTCATAAAAAGAAGAAAAGCACAAGTCACTTTACCTTCATCTTCTTCTCTACTTTTCTCAGTCTTGAATTCCTCTTCTTCTCTTCTTCTGTGAGCTCTACAGCTGGTTCTCCTTCCTCAGCGTCTGTGGCTGTCTCATTCTTGTCCCCTTTATTCTGTGGAAAATATCACAGAAGGAATAAATAAATAAATAAATAACCATGGAAATAATAATGCATTTGCATGCATGAGCTTCAATCATTTTGGAAAAGAATAGCCTTGTTTGTGGGACACTAGAGAAAAAATATTTCTGAAATGAGTCAAATGTACGTTGCATGGGTACTTCCACATCACTAACATGATTCATTACTAGCCTTTTCTTTCCTCTTAATAATAAAGTGTTCAGTATATTCAGTCTTAGCTGATCACCTTTGACATCTGTCCTGCATGATCAATGAAACAGCTCCTTTGCCCGACAATGTCCAACTAAGAATCAAACTCATTGTAAGAAATCATCAATCAAAGCCAAATTTTCTTCTCCAAACTGGAGTCTGTTAAGAAGTTATATTTAAGCCACTGCACAGTCTACTGTAGTTTTGTTTTATCAACACATGGCCTCATAAAGATTTAGACACGACAGGAAAATGTTTTCACTTTTAAACTGTCATTATTATTAATAACATTATAATTGTTTACATTACTATTAACCCATTGCCGCTGGGTGGCACGTACGTACATGCCATGGCTGTTGTGGACCGAATGCCGGGGGGCATCACATCATGCGCATTCCCGCGCCACTGGCTCGTCGGAAGGAGGTTGTTTTTCTCCGATAGTAGCGGCTTCATTTATATGGAAAAGATTTTAGGCAATGGCACCTATAATGAAGGTAAACCTTCAAAATTTTAATATTTTTATAAATTTTAGCAAAATAAAAGCTTTTAGGTGCTAAATGTCGCTCGCAAACTACCGATCGAGCCGGGCACAAACAGGGGAAACTGCCGATGCGCACCAACAAGCCCGTGCCTACATCCACTTGCCAAAATTTTTACCTGTTGGCGATGGGTTAACATTATAACATTATTATTATAATGATGATAATAACAAAACTTTTTCCTGGAAATTCAAGGGGTAGTGCAAACAGGTGAGATCAAGTAAGCATAGAGAAGAACTCTTTGGTAACAAAGTACTTGTGGAGTCACCTTTACATAAACAAAATCAATAAACTCACATTGGAAAGGCATGTATACATGCCAGCTTCAATATGTTAATGAGCTCCTTATATTGCCACATTTTCACCTTGACTTTATGTAACAAATGTAGGAAATAAAAAAAATTTACATTTGTTCTATTTTCTAACCAACTCATAACATGCACTCCCACTGTCATACTAACCCACACAAAGAACACATTGCTTGGGGGGGAAATACAACAAATAGGAATCAATAATTTGCCCCACTTTGGACCCTCCTTTGCCAACAGTATAAATAACTGTTTAGGCAAAGAGGCTTCAAGCATACTTTCAAGGGGTTGTTTTTTCTTAACCACGTCCCACCAAGTGGCATGTTCGTACATGCCATGACTGTTGTGGATAAAGTAGTGGCTGGCATCACATCACGACCATACCCATGCTGGTGGCTCATCAGATGGAGTTTGTTTCTCTCTGATAGTAGGGTCATCATTTCTGTGGTAAAACTAACACCTACAGTGAAGGTAAACCTTCAAAATTTTTATATCTTTTAAAATCATATCAAAATACAAGATCTTAGGTGCCTAATGTTGCCCACAAAACTATGGAACAAGCTGAGTGTAATCAGGGGAAACTGTTGGTGCATGCCAAGGACCCCACGATCATGTTCACTTGCCAAATTTTCTTATATGGCGTTATTGGGTTAAGACCATCCCATGAAATGTCCACCTTTCGCTACTCATTTCATCATAAAAAATTATCAGTTGGAGATAACTCATTGATTCTTCTTGCATAATATAAGAGTATAGAATTGCCCTTCATCTCATGTATAATTTTAGCCTTGCCCCCCCCCCCCCCATAAGGGGATGGTGCCCTCGGAAGTCGAAAAAATTCGAATTTTTCCCCCCTTTCTTTAATACATCCTAACTCATACAGTTTTTTCCTGAATAATCCCCCAAAATTACTTGTGTTAGATATAGCCTAGCCTAAGGCTATGTAAATGGCCAACTTTTTAATTTCCTTTATTTTTGGGCGGGGGACTGGTTGACACATATCCCCTTTTTGGATTTTTTTTTTTCAGCTTTAAATAATCTATATTTTTTTCATTTAGGCCAAAATTTAAAAATCTGCTATTTACACGGCCTTAGGACTCTGAGGTTCTAGCAAAAGCAACAAACTGCGTTTGAAATGCATGAAAATTACGAAAATTAGGAGGTACAGAAGGTAATGTAAACAAAGAACGGAGATATGACATTTTATATTTTGGACACTTGCCAAACTCCTTTATCTCTGATATTTTTCTCTAAATCTAGTAATGTTACTTATCAATAAAATAGCTTATTTAGTGTACTTTGCAATGCAATGAATACCAATTCAATCAGAATTATCATTTTCAATAGGGACACTATTTTGTAAAGGTATGTTTCATTGCATGTTTGTTTGTTTGATATAAAATTTTGAAGAAATTGAGAACTGTGGATGGCAGTGTCAGTACCAAATCATCCTAGTTATAAAGTCTTAGCATGAATTCAACATGGCGGTTCAATTTTGAGAATTAGGAATTTAGTACATGGGGAGGGTCACTGGGTGTTTATAATTTTCGAGGATGATCATATGTATGTAAACACACGCACATAAAGTTTAAAAAATAATCATCCTCATTTAGTAGGCCTACATCAACTCATATGTAAAAGAATAAAATATATTAGTTATCACTATAGAACTGTTTTCTTTGATAATTATCAATAGTAACAGATTGCAAAAGTAAAAAAAAATCACTTTTTTTTTTTTTCGTCTTCATTACATCCTAACTATCACAGTTCTTTACTGAATAGTCCCCCAAAAATACTTGTGTTAGATCAACCCTAGCCTAAGGCCATGTAAATAGCCGATTTTTAAATTTCCTTTAATTTTTGGGCAGGGGACAGCTTGACATTGAGAACTTTTTTTTTTTTTTCAGCATTAAAATTTTTTTTTTTTTTTTTATTAAGGCAAAAATTTTAAAATTGGCGTTTTTACATGGTCTTAGGAATATGAGGCTCTAGTGAAAGCAACAGACTGCATTTGAATCGCACAAAAATTACGAGAGTTAGGATGTACCGAAGGTTAAAAAAAAATAACGGAGATATGGTGTATTGCATTTGGCACCTTGCCATAGTTCGTTATCTCTGGTATTTTTCTCTGAATCTAATGATATCATATATATAAAAAAAAAATGCTTATTTACATGAACTTTTGTACATGAACACATGCACATAAAGTTAAAAAGATTAATCATCCTCATTTAGTAGGCCTACATTGACTTTCATATGTAAATAATAAAATATATTAGTTATCCCTCTCATACCGTTTTCTTTGATAATTGTCAATATCAACAGATTGCAAAGGAGAACATGTGTAGAGTTGGTGATTAGCCATTTGCACCCATTATCTTTACTAGGAAGTGCATAAAATCATGCAGACGCCTAGGTGTTGTGGGATATTTACGAATTTATGGTACCAAAGACCTACAGTAATGTCTAAACATATTCATTGTTATCGCGAACGCACAAAACAAATGCGATAGCTTTTTGAACTCTAGACGAAGAGTGCACATACAAACGAGCTCAAAATTCCATATAGTTTTTATTTCAGAGCAGGTATTACTGAGTACTATCATCTTCAATATGAAATAATCTGTATCTCACTTATACATCCAAAGTTCAAAAATCTGACATTTAGCTAACATTCGTATTGAATTGGTCTTTATAAAAGTAACTACCAATTTCAAATCAATTCAAATCTCCCCATGTTGTGATGTACCGACCGTTGAGCAAAATGTAACGGAAATATTTCAATCCTTACTTATAAGGCTATTTCTAAACATTAGTGCTTCGTATGTGATATACGTACAGTAAACTAAAACATATTACCAGGGGATCTCGATCAAAGCATATTTCGTGTGTAAAAGGACACAAAACTTACATTTTTTTCAGATATATTTCACAATATATTTTGTCATAAATCACAGTGATTTTTTTATTTTCTGATATTGGTATAAAAGTGTTCCTTGAACATTCACGAACTCATATCTACGGCATTTGTCATAATCAAATGCCGTATGCACGATTGCAGCAAGCAGAAGTCCACATAGGACGCTCATTAGTAACGTACCTCTCCAGGTGCTGAGGGAGTCTCGCGTCAGCTGCAAGACGACGAGCCATAGCAGGCGTTTAATACTCGTTTGGTAGTTTCCTCATCCATGTACCTACACTATACACTAGCTAATTCAATTTGACCCGCGCACCGAGCACCGCCTGCTGCTGCGTCGGAGGGCGAGCCTCGATATGGCATCACACTGGCGGGACACCTGGCAATGTTTATTTTTTCGGGTGTCTCATATATGGGACACCCATCGTTATTGGGTTAATGGCTGCAGCCCAGGCTATAGAAGCATACAAATTTTCAGCACACACAACTTCGAGCAAGCTTGACCACACATAACAAGATGGGCCATAATCCAGGAGTGAGGGATGATTAGCCATAACAACAGGACGTCACTCTGGAGCAATTGGGTTAAATGCATCCCTGCACAAGCTACAAGCCATGCATAAACAATGGTTGAAACCTTTAGTGTTTTGAGTAGATAGGGTTATTCGATAATGTTATCATATATCACTAATACGTAGCACTTTCAGTAATCACTTGCGGAACAGAGCAGTTATAAGCCATTTTACTTATATAATTTTGAATCAATTTTGATATGATAATTAGATGTTACTCACTGTAAGTGAAATTTTCACAAGGACATGATAGGATGTCACCTGGGATGAATCGGTTACATAAAGTGTGGCTATTAGCCCCCAACGATCCTTGTGACGTGACTGTCCCGTCATGGAAAAATCTGGGTCGACGGTTGTCATCAGACAAAATGATACAAAATTGCCTTCGTGTGCAAAGGCCAGGGTGATAGAAAAGACTCACCACGAGTGTACAAACCTCTTGCAGTGTGATTTGACCCATTTGGCATTTAGAAGGGGGCTTTTCTTTTGCATTATTCCCATCAATAAACAAATGTGGAATATAATGAGCATAAGCCATGACTGGACACCATTCCCATGCTCATCATTGAATTCCTGGCCGCTGTGATCGGCAGTGCAGGTTGTATTACGGAAAATTTAAAATTACGAAAAAAAAAGATATACGACACAAAAAAACAAATATTCCATACATTTTATTCCTTGCAGAGTTATTCACTGCATAGAGAGATGATATGGAGTCTGTGCAAGGATAATAAGCTATTACCAAAGAGATATGGCTACATTTGCCTGTGGAGTGCATTACGGAAAATTTAAAATTACGAAAAAAAGATATATGACACAAAAAAACAAATATTCCATACATTTTATTCCTTGCAGAGTTATTCACTGCATAGAGAGATGATATGGAGTCTGTGCAAGGATAATAAGCTATTACCAAGGATAAAGCAAATTAAAACAAATATGGAAATTGTAATATGGCAAAAAAGCCAAAAAAGTTAACCCAAAATAACTTTGCAAAGGGGAGGCACAGAATCACGTCACCGCTCACGAGTGTTCTCGTGCGCTAACCTACATGCTGAACACCCGGGCTACTGGTAATATGTAATGACACTTCAGTCTGTTACTTTCATTCAAAAAATATCTTGCAAGCATTTTTTTTTCTTTTCTTCTTTTTTTCTGTATTCATTATCTCAATAACTCACTTCCAGATTAAAACATACAATATGTGCAGTTTTTATCCTTTAGCATATCTAGTCTACTCCTTTTGGTTCTCCATCTCCTAAAATCTCAATACAGTGCAATGACAGTCCATGAATATTTACCAGAAATCCTTCACCTATTATCTGAATTCTTGCTAATTAATCAATTCATTATATCTATATACTGAAGGAACCTTCTTTTGATAATCAACCCAACTCAGTGGGCTCATGGATTAAAACATTGGAAAGAAACATGTCATTTAGTCAAAAGGACATCATAGAGTTGCATATCAGGTCACATTCCAATATTATTTATGCATTAAACATGTATCACATGAATGGCTGACTAAACAAAATATGATAACATACTGGGAAGACCAAGAGGGAAACATCTACCCCTATTTACATTACACAGGTTATTTCTATTGTCATCACTACCACAAAGGTTGTGCATACTATATGGAACATCACATCAAGCTTCGTGCTTTGTGAGGTTAAATATCTTAGATATGCCTTAAAACATACACATACAAATGTATATATGATTTACAGGTTATGTAAAAAAAAAAAAATCTGTCATTCATCATCTCACTAGGCATTTCTCCACAGGTTTTAGAAAAGGACAAGCTACACAGCAGGAATGCTCTGAGTAAGATATAACAAACACCTCCACCGTGCTTTCCATTAGCAAAAGGAATAGTAAGTGCTTGTGTTTGTCACTGTGAGTCTGACAGCAGACCACTTTCTAGTATGAAGCAACTGTGATGGTGAGTTGCGTGTAGGAGCATTTTAATTGTCAATGAACTTGGCCTTGTGGACTCACCTCCCAGCCATCCTCTTCAGGTAACTGTCATCCAAACGGCCGGAAGACAAAGACATCAAGATGCTTTTAGAGAGTCATGGGAAAAAATAATTTCTGCTTCTCTTTATGAAAACTATTCTAAAATTGCTATTGCAGCAAAGAGGGCTTAATTACAAACTTTATAATCAAAACTTGAAGACTCACTCTTGCTAATGATAAACCATTTCATCATATATTATTTTTTTGTGATCTTTTTTTTTTTGTCACATGTCTTAGAACAAATGCCACAAAACTACAGGCAAAGTAACTGGTGAAATTACAAACTGATTGTTTATATATCAGAATTCATTCTAATATCTAATATTAGTAATTTCATAACATCAGTCATATTACAAACAAACTAAGAAACTTTTTGTGAACTATTTCTTTGAAAGAGAAAAAAATGTTCCTCCAACAACTAAAGTTACAAAGTCATCAAACACTCTTTGTTGTTCATTCACCATATTCATATGCACCTTTCTTATAAAAAAACAATCGCATTCAGATATCTCGATCTCATTTAGCTTTGCTTAAATTTTGGGTTCCCCAGCCTTCCAAGATTTTTAATTACCATTTCTATTTTGACAACTGGCTACAATTTCCTGGAGATGCACTTCCATTTTTCACCCATAGAAATATTATAAACATATAACCATTGTGCAAAGTTTCATTTTGCCTAATATACTGAATCCATACACACCTTAACAAATTCTTTGGAGAAAATACTAACATTTTCTTTTCTTTTTCTGAGAACATTATTTACACAGAATATTTAAAAAAAGAAAATGCCACACAGTCTTTCCCCTTTCTTTTTTCCATCATCTCACAACCATGTATGCTTGATATTTTTGATAAAGAAAATGGAACAAGGGCAACATACCTTCTCCCCATATGGCAAGTCCTTGTAGTGCTTCAAACTGTCAAGCAAGTCTTTTATAATCACATATATGTTGTCGAGAGTGAGCTTGCGTGTTGATGACTCCACCAGATTGATGAATTTTCTGTTGAATAATAATGCATGTTAACTCAATGTCGACAGAAAAATAATGCGTTCCTTTTGGCAATGCTTGGTTAAATGTTTCTACACACAGATGGCTCTGCCAATGCTTAGCCACAAAGGAGTCAATTAGTAGATCTTGCGACCTCTTCCTTGAAAAAGCGGAAAAAACATTTTTTTTTTACTTATGCTATTAATATTGACATTGTTATTTTTGTTATAAACATTATGATTACTATATTGTGATTGACATTACTAACAGTAATACTGAATATTAGAAAATATTATCGAAAATCAAGGAAAAGGATAAACAGGTTAGTCCGGTAGTTCATGTAATTGGCTCATTGGTGACTACTTGTGGAGCCATCTATATGTAAAAACAATTGCTAAATTCAACACACACAATGGGCAATGGCATATACATACATGCCATGCCCAGCAGCTTGGGGTAAATAACAACATAATTTCTGAACATTATTTACACAGTTACTCCATTTAAGGTATATCAACACTTTGTGTATGGGGATATGTACCATCCAATGTAGTTTTGATTTCTCCATTCATTGATTTCTTAGGGGAAAAAATACATTTTTTAATGCTATTACTACAAAAACTGTTATAAATATCATTGATCTTATAACTAACTATTAAATTGTTATCAAAATACAAATAATAAAAAAAATATAAAAATTAAAAAATCTTTCCAAAAATCATGGAAAATGAACAGATGAGACAGGTAAGCCTACTAATTGGCTCCTTGGTGACTAAGTGCTTTTGGGGCATCTATCCATAAACATAATTAATAACTAAAATCACAGTGGACAAGCCAAGTATATCATGTAACCCTAATACAAAATATAAGTACATCATCTTCAAAAGAACAGATTTAAATCAAAATTTCCTTTCAGATTAAGATTCCTGACTAATATTATTTGCATTATTATGAAGAGGGAATTGTTTTCAGAACAAATATAGTTATTTTACAAATATTTTTTTCTTTATGTTAAACTAGGCTTAAATTATTTCTTTTCATGTACACCAGCAAAATTGAGGTTCTACTATTTCTTAATATTTCTTATTATTTCTTAAAATTTACTTCATGTTATCAACAAATTCAAAATAAATCAAACGAGCCAGCTGATAATAAAAAGACATGACTATTTCACACACACACACACACACACACACAAACACACACACACAAACACAAAACACACACACACAACCACACCACTGCAACACTCCACACGCACACACACACACACACATACACACACAAATACACACACACAAAACACAAACACACACACAACACAAACAACACAAACACAAACACACACTCACACACTCGCACTCGCACTCGCACACGCACACGCACACACACACACACACACAGGTGACAATGAAATCAGTGCACAAGAATAGATGCATAATTACACAACTAATTGCAGCTATTCATTCAGAAAACCAAACTCTGAGATAGTGGGAGTCAAGCCCTCTGATATATACGTCAGTTATACTTTATTGATGGGAGGTGGTAGCAGTAAATCAAATGATAATAATAATAAACCAGTAATAGCAATGTTAGAAACAATAATAAAATAAAAATGGCAATAATTAATAATAATAATATAATAATAATAATAATAATAATAATAATAATGATAATAATAATAATAATAATAATAATAATAATAATAATAATAATAATAATAATAATAATAATAACAAAAATAATATGTGCAATAAGAGGAAAATAATAACAGTAACAATAACAATAACAATAACAATGACAATGACAATAATAATGATAATGATGATCATGATAATAATAACAAAAATAAAAATAAAAATAATAATAACAATAATAATCAATAATAATAATAATAATAATAATAAAAATAATAGTAATAATGATGATAATGATAATAATGGTAATAACAATAACCCTAATAATAACAAAACAACAGCAAACAGCGCAGCGACTACGACTACGACTACGACTACGACAACCGACTACGACACGACTACGACTACGACTACGACTACGAACGTAACGACTTAAACGAACTACGAACTACGATACACTAATCGACTACACTACGACTACGAACTAGTACTTAAGTACTAAGTACTGAAGTACTAGTACTAGTACTAGTAGCTAGTACTATAGTACTATAACTTTTATTTACTATTACCTAATTACTATTCTATACTATTACTATTTCATTACAACTAACGACTACTACGACTACGACATGAACGACCTAAGACTAACGCCCTACGACTACGACTACGGACTAC